GCTTAGATACGTTCCACGCTAATCGAATTTTACGTTGTAGGAATGATTAAATACATGAGCCAATCGCAGCCCGATAGGTGTGAACTTTATGGACTAAGGCTGTTTGAAGGTTTTCTTCCATAAAATTAATCGATTCCTAGACTAATTCGACTCAACATTTCCAAAACACGTATATTTTTTTGGGAATAATCCGTATAAACTATGCTATAAACAAAAAATTGTAGGATTACTTACCGTGTGTGCACCATTCGACGTCGCCATTGCTTAAGCTTGTTTTCGTCGCTGAGCAGCGCACCAACCGGCGGGCGCGATTTCTGATAGATTATTTTTCTGCAAAAACTTCGTTGAACTTTGGAGACATCATTAATATAAATAATTTTTATGGCCGTTGAATAAGAAATGTTTCTTTCACAAGAAATGTATAAAATTAGTGCTGTATTAGACTTATGGTACCTAATTTACATACTGTCAGACGATAGTAAACTCAATTTACCCGCCTAAACTCTCCGTAGCGTGGCGCTGGACGGCGGAAAATAGTTCGGCTGCCCGATGACGTTTTACCGAATTATAGGAGTTTTTTTACCATGTTTGTACGGATACCGTCGCAATTTTTCCGTCGTCATACAGGAATCCGAACTATAGGAACCCGTGTTATAGGGGGGTCAACTGTAAATTAAAAATAGCAGTTCGGCATTGTGACGATGTCACAATAAATATTTGCTCATTTATTTTACAATTTTTTCATTACTTAGAATCTTTTAAGCGCATTTGGTGAGAGTTTCGAACCCTGTACAGGACCTCATTTCACAGATGGAAGGGATGAAATTCGGCCTGGTGCAAGTACCACCAGATACTCACTTGTAAACCATTCAAATTTGCTGCAATTGCTTCATTTCCGGCAGACATATTTATTGCAATACAGACCAAGATATAATGTCATTTAACATATGAAAACTATATGGCCCACCCATTAATAGACTTCAACACCACATGGGCCAGGCTCATTTCACACCAAATCTGCATTCAGGTAAAGCTCATTGCATAGCATCTTGGTGTATCAAATACCAATCTAACATCTCAACAGTGCATTTATGGATACCTGTTTATGGGACCAGTTGTTTCTCATATCAGCCATCAAACATTGCTGAAGTTTGGCACCAGTCAAGAATCATCCTGTATATTGTTGATATAGTGTTGCTCAAGGTAGCATGTTGCAAGCGTAATTTGAATTTGACCATTAATCATATATGAAAGCTCAGTCTTGTGCAAAGTGACATGTCAAGTTTCACATGATCTCACTTGATATGATGTGTTCAAATTTTAAAACTGAAAAATAGTTTAAAAAACCATTTGATGACAATTCAAACAATTTCCACTAGTTAATGATTTTTCTTGAAAAATGTAAATGATGCCAAAATGACTTGTCATTTTTTTGCATGTAATATCATTTCCAATAATCAACATCAATGCGTAATTTGAAAAGCATTTACTGTTAGCAAATTATTTCAAATGATGGTACCCCTTAATGCATGCTTTTCTTGAAAGAAACTTGCAATAATACAATGCTTTGCTTGAGAGAAACTGTCCAAATGGAAAAAAATGTTACATTTTACCCATGGAAATCATTCTTGGAACATAATTGTGTAGAGTACATACATAAGGAGCTAAAAACAATTTTACCCTCTTTTGTATCATTACACAATGATTAAAACTAATAATATATACTGCATAGTCAAATTCATAAATATTACTTAATATAATGTATGTCAATAAGCACAATAAGTCTGCTTATGACAAGTTACAAAATTTATTCCAATTAGGTGCGAATATGAAAAATAACTGCTCTCTTATATAATTATGATTTTCTTGAGATTATTTTTCATTATTCAAGCTTATTCAAGTATGTACTATACAATACATTAGGTAACATTAAATCTGGTGCTGCTGAAATTATCAGGGCTACACCCTGAGGTTAAAAGATCAATATCAATACCAAGAAATGCAAGGTTCACTTTCACTTGCATTTCTTGATTCTTTAGTACAGCACAGAAGCTGAAGACAGCAAGGTTGAGACTTTTAAGAGTAGCAAGTTAAGGGGTAGCTAGTCAGAACTTTAAACCCTTCTAGTGCTGAAACAATATGTCTGAAGGGACATTTTTGGATGCCCTAGTCACTAGAACAGGCTGTAAAATATCACTGCTACCTTGTGGAACACCCATATGAACTGTTTTTATATTAGACCACAAAAATTTTCCATTACAGAGGACTGTAAACAGAGGAGGTTTCACTGTATAACAATAATAGTTTTAGAGATAAGCATAATAATTATCTCCTGAAAGATTTTGAACACTACTGTAATTTTCCAATTGTACTATTTTTTTTAGTATACTCTTTCTATAAACTTGACATAATTCAGATGATATACAAACTATCATTCTATAATCTTCCCTGGACATTATAGAGCATCCTACCTTAACTATACTCTCTCTAATAATGTCTCTAATTGTCTTGTCTCCATTTTAATGTGTTAGCTATTTAATTACATTTAAGATAGTTATATTTTTTCCTTTAAAATCGAAAGTCTACATTTAGGTATCTACTATCTATTACTAAACATTTCATTCTCCTATCAGAAGTAATTCAATTTTTTAAAGCAAAATAATCTTTCTTTTAACAGCTGTAGGAATATTCATTTCCTGTTCCCTTATTTCACTTCAGACAAATTAATACGCAATGAAATCTGCAATAATTCTATCGTCTTTGGAGTATGCTACGTAGGATTTACATAATATTGTAGAGAATCTCTATAAACACTTTTGTGAGCATTAAATAAACAGAATATAATTAATATACAGGTCAACAGACTTTTAAGCCGCCCTTGTATTATGAAATAGAGAAGAACCACCTTTTTTGGAACAGGCTACAGTAATAGCTAAAAGTATGAAACCAATAGTACAATCCAAATTTATTGTCCAATTTAAATCTGCATTTTTCATTGTGAATGGATGAGTTTCGTCATCAATCTAAATTTATGAGAACTAAAACAGACTAATATTTTATACCTACAAATTTTTAAATAATTTATTATTTAAATACCCATTAAAAGAAAATATTTATGTATATATGTATAATATTTTACAAGTGAACATTTATTAGACAAAGCATTCATATTTGCAAATGATAATCTACAGAAAAAAAATAAATCACATAAAATATAAATATTTTCCAATAAAGTATATGAGACATAACCTTATTAAACAGTATAAAATTTCATAAATTAACATTTCTTTGGAATACGTTAGTGCATAAATTATAACAATACAAAACAATTTAATATATTAAATCAATATTTCTATCATCTTAAAAATTTCATTTATTTTTATAAGAAACTTTTTATTTTAAAATTGAAAATAAAAATTCTACCTAGATTCATATAGACGAAGAAGTGGGTTGTTTTGCAAAAGCGGATTTATTTGAAGAAGCTGATTTATCCAATTTCCGCACGACATCCATGGAAACTCTACAGACTGGCACATTGGGCAAGTGCTAGTGCATATTTCTGAACATTTTAAAGCGCACCTATGTCCGCATTTAAGTAATTTTTTACAGTGCTCATCACAAGGACCGCAACTGCCACTATGGCCACATTTATCTTTACATTTATGCCCGCATTTTAGAATTCTGTGACATATCTGATCACAATTTTTTACACCAAGGAATGAATTACACTTGACTGCAATTTTGTGGTTACATGGGAGTAATTTCTCGACATAACTCTCGCAGGGTGGGCAAGGTTTTAATCCGCAAGCCTTAATGCAGGGATGACCACAGCTAAGAATCTCATTACATACTTTTGGACATATCTGAACAGATTTACTTTTATAACATGGAATTTTTATTTGGTGTCCGCAATCAAATATCTTCGAAACCATCTCGACACATGGTACACACGATTCGGAACAAGTTTTCAAACAAGTGTGACCGCAATCCAAAATTTTATGACAATTTAATGTACATTTATACAACTTTGGATCCAGGTGACATGGAATAAAAATTTTGTGCTTACAAGATGGAATTACTTTTTCAACAGGAACTGTACATTTTCCACATTCTTCATAGCATCGTTTCTGACATTTATGTTTGGAATTGCAAATAGTTTTTCTGCAGATCATCATGCATTTTAATTCTAAATGAGCTGCATCATAGGGATGGCATTTTCTCGTGCAAATATGCCCACATTTTAATCTTTTATTGCAGTACTTTGTACAGCCGCCATCAGGAACGTATTTTGCAAAATCTTCAGCTGTACAAACTTTGATTACAGTTTCTGGATGGTTCTGACAGTTAAGAGCTAAAGCATTACCAATTGCATTTTGATGTTGAAGTTTTTTCTTTATATCCTTCCAAATTTTACTTTGCTCAGCATATAATTCAAAATTTCCAATACAGTACAATCCCTTTTTTGCTCTTGAGAGAGCCACACATATTCTATTTGAAATCTTTAAAAAACCAATACAACCAATATCATTACTTCTTACAAATGATATTAATATAATATCATTTTCTTCTCCCTGAAAATTATCTACCACAGTTACGCCAACTCCTAGCAACATCTCTTCCGACCTCATCAACTTTTTTAGTAAAAACAATTGCGCTGTGTATGTGGTTAAAATCGTAATTTTAGATGCATCATATCCCTGACATCTTAGAAATTTGCATAAAGCAATAAGAAATTTTGCTTCGTGTAAATTACTATGACTTTTAGAATCGTTCACTCCAGTTTCTTGATAAGAATGATTAATAAAAAACATATTGCTTCCAATACCCATTATGTTTTCATATTTTTCTACATTTGGATCATTTTGCAGATTAGAATAAATGTGAGGAGTTAATAATTTTGCAATACATGGACGCATACGATGCTGTAATGAGAGCTGATAATAATTCATACCATTCTTGATCATTCTTTCAAAAAGAGAAACATTTAAAGCATAGTGCAATTCTAAATCATAAACTGTAGGGGAGGGCCTCAGCTGTTGATGATCGCCAATTAAAATCAAATGTTCTGTATTAATAGATAGTGATGTAACTATGTGAGCTTCTAAAACTTCTGCAGCTTCTTCCACAATAACTATACGAGGCTGCAACTCTTGTAAGTATTCTCGATACTTTGCAGCTCCTGTTGTAGTCATCCCAATGACTTTAGCTTGATTTAATAATATTTTATCTTCCTTTTTGCGCAATTCACATAATTCCTGTGATTGTTTATGATAATATAACTGAAGACTTGATATAATTTCTAATAGATTTGTAACATATTGTGCAACCCAAAATTGATACAATCGCCATCTATCATCAGTTTTTAATTTCCAGACATTATCAATTTGTTTTACTTCTGATAATGTCATTGCTTGTTGACATTTCATTTGTTTTTTAATATAATCTTTCATTTTCTTAGGAAAATTATGAACAAATTCATTTTCATTTAAATCCGAATGTTTTAATTTATTTTTTGCCGGATAAGGATTAATTGGTTTATATTCATCTTCATCGATTTCTCTTAAACTAAGTTCAAAATCTGTGTAATCATCGACTTCATCAATTCCAATATCAATATCATTTATAGAAGTTATTATATCATCATCAAGATCTGACGGAACAGAATTCTGGTTCTGAAAATCATAGGTTGATAAGCAAAGCCATTCCATTATAGAATATTCAGAATTTAATCCACTTTGCAAAGATTGTAAATGTTTCTTTTCCATAAAAGGTTGTAAATTGGGTAAAGGCAAAATGTGTTGAGTACTGTTTTCTACTAAATATGTGAAATAATTTAATGTGTACTCAATATCTTCTATTTCTTTAATTAAATCACGTCGAAGAAAATAGATGTAATGAGGCACTTTACAAGCCAACCTGGAAGCTCGCCTTAAGTGACTTAATTGCAAGTTTTTAATCTTTTCATTAGTAGAACGGCCACCAATTCTAACAATTTCTTTTGTGTAAGAGGAAATTCCTTCTAGAAACTGATCTAATGCATGGTTTGTGTAGCAGACAACCAAAATTGGAGTATTATTTGATGGATTCCACACATTTGAATTCTCCAACAGCATCTGAGCAATTTTTAAGCCAATATATGTTTTACCAGTTCCTGGTGGTCCTTGAATAACTGCAAATTCTTTAGTAAGAGCTGCTTGTAATGCAACAAATTGAGAAATGTCCAAATCCAACAGTTCATTTGAAGGCCACATATCAAAATTTAATATTGGAATCATCACTGGTGAAGTACTGTTAAAAGACAGAGCATCAAACGTAGATGAAAAATTATACATAGTATTGGAATGTAAATACTGTGGACTTCTCACCTGCGACTGCACATAGAGTATATAATCTTTTAATGGTAGATCATCTTGTGCTATTTCTTGCAATGCTGCTAATGTATGACGATAGGCTTCAAAATAAGCTTCGCTTTCAACCATTACAAAAGTAGAAAATGGAGATATAGAAAAGATTTCATTATTCAGATTTTCAAAATGAACTTCCAGTTCACCTTTTTTCAGTTTTAGTGGATCACGTTTTGCAACCGTTGCGAACAACATTGTTTCAAAATTGTCCGAAGACAGGCATAATAAAGATCCTGACAAAAGTCTTTTACTAGTGTTCCAATGAATATGAGAATATGGTTTTACATTAAACGATATCAAATGCACAATTCCTCCCTCTGTATTGTATGGGTATATAATATGAACATCATTATATACATGAAAATTTCTTGATCTTCTATGAGAAACTTTCACTTTGTAATTTTCAATACTATCTCTAAGAGGTCTAATGTAATCTTCTCTTAACAGCCTAAACTGAACATCTAGGTAATGATTTAAGTTGAGATAACGTCCACATACAATATTTGGTCGAAGAAATGGCTGTTTGTCCATTAAATCTTGTCTAGTAGGGAATATAGGTATATTTACAAAATACTCTGGTGGTTGTTTATTTTGAAAATTTTCAAATGCAGATATTTCATTTCTTGTCTTTCGATTATACATTTTAATAAGACATTCTTTATTCTTTTGAAGATTTTCTATTTTTATCTCAATAAATGAATTATTTATCCCTTTCTGCTGGAGTTTATAAAATATATCATTTAAAACTGGAAGAATAAACGTCAAATTATTACTAGCTGTTACTGGTTGCAATTCTTGAAACTTGGTCAGAAATAACGTCATATTATGTAAGGATTCCAATTGTTTTGTATCCGATATATTGTATTTCTCTAATGAAATAATGAAATTATATAAGTGTGTTTGTATAAATGGACTTTCATTGACAATGCAACTTATAATAGATGCTAAATTTTGAGATTCTTCAGCTATGGATAACTTTCCTAATAAAATTAAAATATCAAACATTATTTCAAGTCCAAGGCTTTTTTCATTTAACAAATTAAGAAAACCATTTTGAGGTAAATTTAAAGAAAAAAGAATTTCTGATGGATCCTTCATTAACAATTCTTTTACCTTGTGGAAACTCATTCTACGATCCATATGATTTGGAAAGTTTCCATTAATACATAAATTATTTTTATCACCATCATCATGTCTATAAATTACACAAAAATCTTTTACACCTTGCTCTGTAGAACACCAACTTTTCTGTACTAATGCTTGATGCGTATTCTGATTTTCTAAGTATTTACATTGCAGATATTTTTCGGCTTCTATTTTCTCAGCAGCTTGGTGCTGTTCCCAAATTTCCAGAGCCAGATGAAACTTCTTGATATTCCTGAATAAGTAGATAAAATTAATTATATTTAGTTATATAATGCATATATTTAATAATGTATGTAGCTTTTATTGTATTTTATAATACAATTTATACAAATTATTATACATGGAATGAATTAAGCAGATTAATAAAATAAATTAAATTTTTTCACTTAAATTCAGAAGCCATTTAAATCTGTACTAAATTCTTTACCTATTATGAATTTTTATATAAGCTATTCTCTATTTTCTATATAATTTTCTATGTATCAATGTAAAAATGCTCCAAGATTAATTAATGTTTGTATGACTACATGACTTTCAAATTTAGCAGGTATTGGGCACCATATAAGTGAATACAAGTGTTCAATTTATAAATATATTAAGAATAGTTTTTTTAAATCTGTACATTGTACTGGGCTCTTAAGTTTTTAATTATCCATGGTATCTACACTCCATATTACTTTAGATAATTTCAACCATTGTATTCACTTACCTTCTCTTGTATAAAATATGTTCGGCAAAGAGTATAACACTGTGGAAGTTGTATAGTAATGTGAGAACTGAGGGGGTATGACTACGTTGTAGCTCCAGTGGATCGGCTTTCAAGTCTGAGGGACTTGCCCACTAGTCAGCAATGGCTTAATTTTTTTCTTCTTTTATCCCGAGGGTAGGAGAGAGGAGTGCTCTCAGAAAGGTGACAGATGATATACGAGTAAAAGAGGACACCAATTTAACAAAGAAACAATGATTTATTGGTTAATTACCTGGATTATACAATAATCTATCATTGCGGAATTCCAAGTGAAAAATCTGAGTCCTAAAGTGTGAAGGGGGCCGAGAGAGAGTTCACAGAAATTGGTTCCATACCTCTTTATATATTTGGATCTCCAAGAGAGGGAAAGAATCCACCAGGACGTTGAAGTTCGAAACAGGGCACAAAGTTAAAGATAATCCTAGGGTATGTAGCACTACTATCATTGATGAGCAACTCCCCGGGAGGGAGGAGAGAGATGGCTTTTATCGTTTCACGGTGGGAAAATGGTCATATGACTAATTAGTTGTGAAGTAAAAGNCAATTATTCAACGCTTTGAAATTATCCATTCTGCAAGCGAAAAACAAACGAGCATTAAATATTGTAGAACGAGCGTTGAAATAAGACAATATTAAAAAATGAAATAAAAATTTAAGACAAATGTACAGCCATCAAAAACAATATCTCAAGTAATCATTTTGCAGAATCACTTGTGCGTCTAATGATGGCAGTTGGATCTAGCTGGATGAAATGCATGGCTGGTTACTAGTGTTGCAACGAATAGTATATTCGGTCAGGAGCGTGGCCCAATAGCCGAATATTCGGCCAAACTATTCGGCTTGACTAACGCACGTACGAAAATTGGCGCGCAAACCGCATTATGGCAAGGACCCTGCTCTCTATTGGCTCACTGTCACTACGCTTCGCCAATCGCGTTAATTCTTGACAGTTCAGACATGAGCGTCATGGCAGTATGTGATAAGTGATGATATCAAATGTGAATAACAATGAAATGATCTACACATGTAAATAACGGAAAAAGAACAGAGAAGGACCGCGAAGTGAAAATGTGAAAATAAATATGAAATTGAGTCGATAACATAATCGACTTGTTCGATTATGTTATCGACTCAATAAGCTGCCTCGAACAAGTCGAGGCAGCTTATTGGCGCGAAATTCGCGGTCGTGAATGCCAAACAATTGTTGTCATAGACTTCGGAAAGCTAAATGCTTGTATTGAAATTCACTTAGCATGCACGGTCGAAAGCCTGGGGTCGTTCGGGCTACCAACCTGTTTCGAATCTGTGAAATCATAACTGTGACTTATACCGACGTCCTATCTGTCTCTTTTCTCCGTTATCACCAGGCTACGAGTCACGTAATTGTAAAATGGGTAATTTACGACGGAAAAGTGACGAATAGAAAGTATCGTGAGGGTGTATTATGATGTATGCATAGGCATACGTGGACTACAGCGATAGAGGAAAGAGAAAGGGAAGAGCAAAGACGAGCGCTTAAAAAGAAGGATAGGCAGGGTCAGACCCTCAAATGTGCGAGGATTCTCGAACGAATAGGTGTGTACGTGTGCTGATCTTTGTAATTATAAATTTGTGAATACAAGTGACTAATATTATGTTCTTTTTTATTTTGTGCATGTTATAAGTTATAAATAAATATAAACAAACAACACTAACCCCATAACATTAAATCTAAATACCAAAATGATTAATTTACTGTGTTTTTGTTATTTCTTACTCCTGTTTTTAGGTATTCGGTATTCGGCCGAATAGCGAAAAATAGGCCGAATAGACCGAATACTAACCGAATATTCGTTACATCACTACTGGTTACCCTTCTTAAATTTTCATCACGTAAATGTAACTGGGACGATTGAATACATGGACAATCTCCATGCATCTTGTTTTTATATACATAACATACAGCTTCAAATCATTCGTAAAGAAATCTCTGGCTATTATGGCAGCCAACCACTGCATAATATCTACCTGAATTGATTTTATAAAGCATGTCGCCAATAAAAAAACTAAAAATTGCAGACCTACACTAACAACTATCAGTATCTTAATTGTTTCCATGACATATGTGGATTCCCAGACGAGGTTCAAACTCGAGTAAACCGTGACATTCTTGCGCGACACAAGATGTAAACAACAAGACTCAGAACGGTTCGAGTACGTGTCAAACTATCTGTCAAGGTCTTAGTGGAAGACAAACTCTAACACGAGCGCTCATAAACAGGTAGATCTTTGATTCGCGTGTCTATAAAATGTTGGCCGAGATAAACCTTTACTTACAAAAAAAAGGGAAATTTTTGATAGATGAAAGATGAAAATGATCGTTAAATTCTTAGTAGTCAAAAAAATGGTAAACAACGGTCTGAGTTATGAGTGCAGGTGTTATTGTTTTATAAATAGTCACCGAGCAGAGTCGACAAAGAGGTATCAGATGGACACCTCGAATCGGACCTTTCCCGCGACCCGAAAAAGTTTCGTCTTGCACTTGGAGACAAAGTAGAGACCAATCGGGAAGCGAGGAATGGGACGAGGGACCAATCCAAAATGCAAACAGTGGGGAAAAACTATAAAAATCGGAACTTCAAGGTCGAAAGAGTCTCCTCTGGATTAAGCCGACAGTTGTACTTTGGCTATCACCTAGGACGCCGCAGCTTAACACCGAACATCTGCATCGTCCAGCGATCCTTCTTGTCCGCCCGGGCTACGACCGATCACCCGAACTCTCGCCATTCACAGCAGCACCGAGATTTTGGAATTGTCCAATATCGATGTAAGCATGAATCCGAACAAATAAACGGGTTTTCTTTTGTAAAACACTTGTTCTTCATTTGCCTCCTTCGCCACTGCCCACATACGCGGTTCCCCTTGGGCTCATTCTGACGCGAGATAGACTTTATTCCCCTTAACGTCGGCAAAACTTACACATACACCTTCGTGTGGCAGAATTCAAAAACACGTTCTGGAAAGTTGTGATGTCTATAATTTTTTCAAATTGTAACCGAACAAGTTTGGTCCCATAACAGGTGTCTGGAAATGTACCGCCGAGGCACTACACAGGTTTCATTATGCTTCGATAATATGCAGTATGTGTTTGTAATCCTTCAGTTCTGTACTGTACATCTTATGAGAGATCCGATAAAGGAAGAGAATATGTTAACCCGAAATTGTGTCAGGAGGAATAAGAGGCAAAGGGCTGTCAGGGAATGGTAGACCACGGGGACAAGTCATCTTTGTAGAATTAACACATTTATTTAAAAACACATGCTTACACTAATTCTGCTAAGAACTTCTTGAAGACCGTACACTCCCGGGGATAAGTTCAGTCTCTAATTAAACGGTCTTTGACAATCATGAATGCCCGAGGCAATTTGATAGCCAACTCTAGATGTGGGATGTGTGGAGATTGGTGGAAATCAGGCCCTAAGTAACAGCGGCGGAACAAAGATGAAGTTGAAGGTGGGCCGATGCGGAAACGAACAGGACACAAGCACAGAGGACAAACAGGTTCACACATGATGAGTTCGGGAGAATTAACTTTTTGTCCTTGAAATCCAGGTTTGTAAAGGGTTTTATCCTCAAATTAATTGGCCCCAATAGTCTTTCTTCCTGATTGGTCTGTGCTCTGTATCCAGATGAAACTGGACAACCAAATCGGGCATGAGAAAAGTCAACTTCCGTTATTCAATGCGACACCTCATTTGACTCGGATCGAATATTGATCGAACTTTAAGATACGAGCGAAAGTCTCGAACTATGTTTTTTCTTTTCTTTTCTGACATCAAGAATTTTAACCGATAGTTCATTCTTTGTCAAAGATTTCCCTATTTTGTCGAAATTTGATCATTCATACAAGCGTCAGAGTCAGAGCTCGATTTTCCCGACAGACATTTACTAAATTCCAAATAGGAGTGCTCGGGTTTTCACAATAATTAATCGTTCATTGTTTATGTTATACTTTTCACGACTGATTATGCTGCAATTTGAAAAAATTGTAATTTATAAATTTCCACTGTCGTCTTTCCTTAATCTTGACCATACATGGAAAGCTAGAGCTGGTGGTCCCAATTAACTATATACGAACTTTCGTTCTGGGCCGGAAGTCACGTTATTTCAATTCAAAAATGTTCCTTTGAAAAGAGATAGATGACCAGCATCACTTATCACTATTCTAACAGAGAAAGTATGATGTATAGGGACAAGACACTACTAATTTGAGGTACAGAGCATATACAGGGTGTTTATAATTTAAGTTCCTCTTTGAAATGGCCATAAAATGAAAACTACTGGACAGAATGTTATCAAACTTGGTAGTGTACAGGACGTCATGGAGTTTTATTTCCCCGCAAAAAAAAAAGTTCAAAACTCACCACCAACGGGGAAATGGCGCTGTCTGTAATATTGTTAAACGAAATAAGACAGGAAGACATCGTTGAAAATGTTTTCGTTTCTAAAATGTGTTACAAAGCATGTTTAATGTGGCGTCCACTATTTTCTGAAAACAAGTTAAATTCCTCCTGATATGCTAAGAGCTACTGTTGAGAGAACAGTAATGCGATGTAACTTGTTTATAAAAAATGGCGGACACCACATTGAACATGCTCTGTAACATGTTTTAAAACCAATTAAAAACATTTTCAACGATGTCTTCATGTCTTATTTCGTTTAACAATATTGCAGACAGCGCCATTTCCCGTTGGTGGTGAGTTTTTGAACTTTTTGGTGGAAAATAAAATCCCACGACGTCCTGTACACTAATACCAAGTTTGATAACATTCTGTCCAGTAGTTTTCATTTTATGGCCATTTCAAAGTGGAATTTTAATTATAAACACCCTGTATTTTAAAATACAGTCGACCCCCCCTATAAGACGGTAGATACGTTCCGTTTTTTGTGAAATTGATGTTTTAGGAGACCTTGCCAATCACAGCCCGACACGTGTGAAGTTTACGACTACGGCTGTTTGAAAAATTTTCTTCCATAAAATTAATCGATTCCTAGACTAATTCGACTCAACATTTCCAAAATACGTATATTTTTTTGGGAATAATCCGTATAAACTATGCTATAAACAAAAAATTGTAGGATTACTTACCGTGTGTGCACCATTCGACGTCGCCATTGCTTAAGCTTGTTTTCGTCGCTGAGCAGCGCACCAACCGGCGGGCGCGATTTCTGATAGATTATTTTTCTGCAAAAACTTCGTTGAACTTTGGAGACATCATTAATATAAATAATTTTTATGGCCGTTGAATAAGAAATGTTTCTTTCACAAGAAATGTATAAAATTAGTGCTGTATTAGACTTATGGTACCTAATTTACATACTGTCAGACGATAGTAAACTCAATTTACCCGCCTAAACTCTCCGTAGCGTGGCGCTGGACGGCGGAAAATAGTTCGGCTGCCCGATGACGTTTTACCGAATTATAGGAGTTTTTTTACCATGTTTGTACGGATACCGTCGCAATTTTTCCGTCGTCATACAGGAATCCGAACTATAGGAACCCGTGTTATAGGGGGGTCAACTGTAAATTAAAAATAGCAGTTCGGCATTGTGACGATGTCACAATAAATATTTGCTCATTTATTTTACAATTTTTTCATTACTTAGAATCTTTTAAGCGCATTTGGTGAGAGTTTCGAACCCTGTACAGGACCTCATTTCACAGATGGAAGGGATGAAATTCGGCCTGGTGCAAGTACCACCAGATACTCACTTGTAAACCATCCAAATTTGCTGCAATTGCTTCATTTCCGGCAGACATATTTATTGCAATACAGACCAAGATATAATGTCATTTAACATATGAAAACTATATGGCCCACCCATTAATAGACTTCAACACCACATGGGCCAGGCTCATTTCACACCAAATCTGCATTCAGGTAAAGCTCATTGCATAGCATCTTGGTGTATCAAATACCAATCTAACATCTCAACAGTGCATTTATGGATACCTGTTTATGGGACCAGTTGTTTCTCATATCAGCCATCAAACATTGCTGAAGTTTGGCACCAGTCAAGAATCATCCTGTATATTGTTGATATAGTGTTGCTCAAGGTAGCATGTTGCAAGCGTAATTTGAATTTGACCATTAATCATATATGAAAGCTCAGTCTTGTGCAAAGTGACATGTCAAGTTTCACATGATCTCACTTGATATGATGTGTTCAAATTTTAAAACTGAAAAATAGTTTAAAAAACCATTTGATGACAATTCAAACAATTTCCACTAGTTAATGATTTTTCTTGAAAAATGTAAATGATGCCAAAATGACTTGTCATTTTTTTGCATGTAATATCATTTCCAATAATCAACATCAATGCGTAATTTGAAAAGCATTTACTGTTAGCAAATTATTTCAAATGATGGTACCCCTTAATGCATGCTTTTCTTGAAAGAAACTTGCAATAATACAATGCTTTGCTTGAGAGAAACTGTCCAAATGGAAAAAAATGTTACATTTTACCCATGGAAATCATTCTTGGAACATAATTGTGTAGAGTACATACATAAGGAGCTAAAAACAATTTTACCCTCTTTTGTATCATTACACAATGATTAAAACTAATAATATATACTGTATAGTCAAATTCATAAATATTACTTAATATAATGTATGTCAATAAGCACAATAAGTCTGCTTATGACAAGTTACAAAATTTATTCCAATTAGGTGCGAATATGAAAAATAACTGCTCTCTTATATACAGGGTTCCTACTCAAATTTTTGTTTTGAATTCCCTGACTTTCCCTGATTTTCCCTGNAACGCAGCTAGGTAGATGAAAGTAGAGATCAGATATGAAAAGATTAGGAGTTGATTGCATCGGAAAGTTCATACATAGTTAATCGAGGCCTCCTCTTTTGATTAACTATATATGAACTTTCGATGCAAGGCGGAACTCACCTTATTTCCATTCAAAACATTTCCCCTGAAATTTCAGGAGTTAAATAGATGACAGGCACGACTCTATTGCTGACAGGAGAAGTACCATGTACGGGGGCAAGACACTACAATAGTAATTTCAAATGAACAGCATATATTTTAAATTAAATCAATTAAGTCATCTATCTTCACGATTACAGCAAGGTAACACACATCTTGTGTTACCGTTACCATTTGTTTTCATCATTTTCATTATAATCTTCACTTCTATTCTCCTTACAATAACTTAATGTATTATTTCATTGTATCCATTTATTCCTTAATTCATTTGTAAACCACTTATATTTTGTATGTTTTTTTTAATAATCAACTTGTATGTATTGTACGCACGTTTACACCTATTCTATGTAATATTATGTTTGTCAAATTAATAAATGAAAGGCCGAAGCCCATGATAACGCCCATGGTGCCTCCCATGCCTTCACTTCACACTTTCTCATCTCCCTTTCTTTTCACACCCTGCCCACATGCATTTTTCTTCTTTCAACTTCAAATAGGGAACAAGCCGTTGCGATCATACAAATAGCTCTTCTCACTCTTTAATCACATCTTCTACAACATTCCTTTCGTTGTCATCGTCGGTGTTTGTATAGTNGTTATTAATAAACAGTTACTTTGAATGTAGTAACATATAAAGTTCAAATACTATATCAAATACAGTAAAATCTGACTAAAACAGAACCAAAATAAACCCAGCAAAATGGAAACCTGCCTATATGGAAAAATTTTTTCAGAACAGAGTGATTTGTTTCATTAAATCTTACTATAAGCCAAAAACCCATTCAAAGCAGAAACAGGAGAGGTTTTTGGGTATGAAGAATGTAACTTAACCTGGATAAAATAGAAAATTTATTTAACTTTTAGAGAAATAAGTAGAATTGTCACCATGCATAGCTATCACTGCAGAGCATGAAAACTATTCCAAGAACAATTTCAAATACCTTGTCAGAGAAATGAAGGCACATGACAATGTGATGATGGGGAAAAATAGATGACATAACATTTATAAATAACAATAAAAATAAATGACATATCATTTATTTTTCTTCCCAGTTTTCTCTTTGATGGTTTAAGATTTTCAACTGTCCCATCCCCATTGTATGCAATCATCAGATACAAACAAATCCACCCATAAACTACTGATATAATACTTGAATAGTCTTTGATTATCATTAAAATTCCCCAAGAAGCCAAGAATAACAGTAATACAGAACACAACAACTCTGTCCCTATAATACTGTAATGTGATTAAAATTTCTGATGGCAGATATAGACACTAATTTTGGAACTCAAATTGACTTGTTTACTGTCATGTGAGCTAAGATTCAAATACCTAGTTCAAGTTCTTGGAAACAAGGAGAATAATTTGCAATAGAATTGTTTCCAATTCTTGCATTTGAATACTCCCACCTTTAGCTGGAAACACTTCGGATTAATTTGGATTCAGCATTTAAACCTAGTAAGAAAATTTATTTACTTAAATATATGTGAATTTACTATAAAAATGAATGTAACTCTGTAATGTTTATGTGATGTTTAAAAATAAAAGAAAGAAAAAGAAACTAAAACTTGTTAAAAACAAAAAATAATTTGGTACCAGGCAATTTCAATTTGTACAGGTTTTGCTGTATTTTACTTTTTATGATACATGACATCACAATAAAGAAACTTATAAAAAACAGACAAAACTTTACAATAAAAACAAGACAACTTCCTATAATAAATTGTTATTCACTAAGTGAGATGAAGGCTTGAAGCTTCAGGAAAGTTGATAAGGTATGCTTTTCAAAACAATTTATATGTAATTTTGATGATCTACTAACTATTTAGAATGCAGCACAAGATTTTTGGCACATATCATTTGTTAAAAAAATTATTGTACTGTACTTACAAGACAAACATAAATACACACATAGTCTCTACAAAGTATGAGGTATGAGTATTAAAATCAAGAGACCTACTGGAAAAATGTTAACCAGGGAGACATTTGGCAGGGAATGCCTGTATTATGAATACATATTTTTTCATTACCTTTCAGAAAGATTTTTCAACTTTACATCTGCTGAATTGTGAAATCCATTATGACTGCTTGAAATGGAAAAAAAAAGAAAATTAGTAAGGAAATAATACCCAAAATACAATAATATACACCATATGACTAAATATTGTATAAGCAAATGTGATAAATAAATAAATAAAATACATTAAAATTCTATTTAAGCCATATATTTAAATGTAAGTAAAACAGATAATGAAGTATAAGTATTGAATTATCTTCTAATTAAAGTTTCCCAAGTTAAATAATACAAAATACCACTTCCATACAAAATGTTTGCAAAAATATGATGAAATGACTAGTTAATAGCAAATACTACATCTAGTCGTTCACTGGAAACAAGTAACAAATAATCCACTTATAATGAACTCTTCACAAAATTCCAAAAAACACAGATTTATAAATATTAGGATTCAAAATTAGCAGTTGTCTGACTGTTTCAATGTCAAAATTTTCTTTGGACTACTGAATATATTTCTGAAATGGTCTAAGTAGCCTGATTTGTTTTCTCATTTTTTTCTGAACTTTTTCATACTTCATTCATATTTTATTCCATTAAACAGTAATATGCACTTGTTTTTTAGTAAGGAAAAAAATAACAACAACAAAACCAAAAGTCTGTTTTTAACATTACTTTGACTGCAACATCAAATCCAGCTGCCAAAAGAAGATTACAAGAACAGAAAGCACATAAGATACAAAAATTTTTAAAAAATGAAGCATTGGCAACTGAAGGAAAAATGTCAACAATTTACAAAGTAATGGTCATTTGTACGAAATGTAGGAAACTTAAATAAGTCTTAAAAATTATTATATTGTCTTGTATTTATCTTATTATCCTCTGTTGGAATCTAATTACAAATTTGATTGAAACTGAAATGAAATGTTTTATAAAAAACATTATTAATCTTGACAACACATCTTTAATTTAATATTTTTGGGATATTAAGTTAAGTTTCATATTCCAAACTGAACAAGTTGGTCTGTGTTTTAAGTACAGAAAAACCATAGGCTTCATAAATAACAGTTTTGCTTTAATGATTAACAGAAACTAACACTTGATTAATGACATCTTTATTTTGTTAATCATTCATTTATCTTTTAAGTTTACTTATATGTAGTAGTGAACAATAATTATTATTCAATATCCAATTATTCATTACTTTTATCTATCTATTAAAAAGAATTTCAGTATATGATTCTTAATGCGATTCTTAATACTGTAGCCAGTAAGTTTTTTGTATAAATAAAAAAAACTTATACACACACAAAATATATAAAGTGAGTTAGTTTGTTTGATAGAGGTAATTTTGGAATCTACTAAACTAATTTTTAAAATAATTTTGCTATTGAAAATCTTATTCCTTCCAGATGAACATAGGATATACATTATTTTTATATTATGAAAAGAAAATGTACAAGAACAATGTTTTTACCACTGCATTTGTCTCACATCAATGTTTGTCTGTTCCATTCAAGGTCAAGCCCCTTGTCACCTGGTGGGCTTTTTTAAACTTATTATAGTATATTTGAGGTTTCCACTTTGTTTCATGCAGTTTGGATAGTTGTGTATATGCTTTGTTTATATTCTCTTGGTTGTTCATTTCTTATTCCATTTTCTATATTCCCTCATCAAAGAAGTTTCTGTCTAGGAGTTCAAACCATCCACAAATAACCATGCACCTTTTCCTCATTGGACTAATTGCTAATTGCTAAATCCCCAACCTCACTTTCATTTTTTGAACAAATGAAAGTCACTTGGTTTGAGATTGAGGCATATGTTGGATGATCAAAAAAACTACCATTGAAACTGTTGAAGCAATGTCTATGTGCATGCATTGTTGTAGACAAGAACTAGGCCTGAAGACAACATACCTTGCCTCCTGTTCTGAATCACTCTTCAGTTTTTTTATAGTATAGCTGTAAAGTAGCATAGTCCCAGACTCCAGAAAATTTGTCAGCAACTCTTTTTTTTTTTTTTTTATTCCAAAAACTGTAGCCATCATCTTTTTGCTGAAAAATGATTACTTGAATTTCTTGGGATTGTTTAGCAAGTTTTGCCAAACAAACCCAAGAAACTCGAGCAATTATTATCCAGCAAAAAGCTGTGCATCCATTGCTTTGATTGTTCCTTTATCTCCATGTTCACAAACTGAATAAACATTTTGTTGCCTGTAACAATTTTGTCTAGAATAGAAGAGCATTACCCTCATTTGGTATTATTGCAAAAACTGCAATGCAGATTTTGACTTAGTCACAAAATGCCCTTCACTGCATTTTGTGACTAAGGTTTTTGGGCACCTACCTTGCACAAAACTTATGAAAGCCCAGAATCAAGGTCACAGTTTCATAGTGTCATTAGTGAAATTTCAGAAAATTGGCATAATAGTTCAGATATTGTGAACTGATGGTACTTGCAAATCATTTTGTCCAGGTATTCAACAAATTTGGCAGTTGCCACAGTCAGTCTTCCTTCACCAGCTTTTTGATGCATATCCATCCATCCTTTCTGAAATTTCAGACACTGTTCTCTCATAACTGTAACTCATGTAGATTAGCTGACAGAGGAGATCATTTAATCCCAAGTCAGGGATGACAAAGGATCATTTTTCATATGTGGGTAGTGATCATGGAGACAAAGATTACTCAGCACCTTTATAAAAATTATTTTTTAAAAGCAAAGTTTTTATTATACAAATGGAGACAAGTCCTGTTGGGGGAATAAACTAATGTCTTGTAAGTTCCTTGATGAGCTGTTCTATCCTTTAATGAGTTTAGTTCGTTGGCAGCCCTAGGGCAGCAGCATGACGACTTCTGGCTGGGTTGGCTAGTCACAAGTTATAAGTTCACAGAATTTGTCGAAGAGGTGAGAGCAATGACGCAGATAGAAGGTATCTTTAATACACTGGTGCAACTTTTGGAGAGACTGACATTTACAGAGAGAAAAAGCCCGTGTCCTTTCATGTTGGGGATTTTAATTAAGTTTCACCCTTGATTACCCACTCTGATTGCTCTCCTTCATCCTTACTTTCCATGTGGTTGCTTTCTTGTTACTAATGTAACAAGATCCCAATTTAGATCGTGGAAGGGGGCAAACTTGCAGTGAATTCAATCTCCCAACCAGAGATAGCCTATCTTAGGATTCATATTTCTCCATTGTTTACGACATCGTGTCTAGACTTTAAAACAAACAATTTTTTCTATCTTCTATTTTTTTTCTCTCTTTAAAAACAGTAATTTTTATACAATTTCTAATAGAAGTTTAGACCTGTCCAGGACCTCCCACTCATGAAGTTTTCACCATAAACAACACTCATCCTTCAGTGAATCTCAGCTGCACTGTATCCTTCAACTTGCAAAAAGTGGATAACACTGCACACCTCATATTTGGAAGAGCTTTGATGACATGTGCCATGTTTCCACACTTGCTGTACTTGAGAAAATGGCTGATTGCATGGGTAACCAGACTCAATGTTATTATACATTTCTGCACGTGCCAGATTGTTGCAATAAGCAATGTGGCACAGAGCCTAACAGAGGTTAATTTCCAAACAGCCTTTGTATATTAGGGCAGTTAAGTAAAAAGATTTAGTTTTTAAGGTATTTTTTTCTCAAAATTAAGTAAATGACTTAGTTTTAATTAGTTCACTTTGTTTGCCTTTTTAGTAGTACTGCTTTTAGCAAGCATATAATGAAAAAAAATTCTAGTAATTTAAATCACTATACTGCAAGAAAATAATTAAAATTTGATGTGTAAATCACTGATTAAAGTGATGCATTAATGATTGCATATTATCAGCCACATATTGTAGCTAATAATGTAAAATACCTATTTATTTTAAGATAATTATAATAATAACCAAAATGCTCATTACAATAAGCAAAATTTTCTAAGTACAGTGGTACCGCATACTTTGAATGCTTCAGAGTTTGAATGCAAAATTCGACACAAATATGCCTTGCAGTTTGAATTGTATGCACAGTGAAAAAGTCTGCCAGAATCATAAATGCAATCTGTTATGTGTCCGAGTTATCTCTTGCTCTCAAGTTATACTTGTATATGTTTCGGTGTTTTTCTTTTTTTTTGCTNCCCAAGAAGCCAAGAATAACAGTAATACAGAACACAAGGGATTATTGTCGAGATGGGCGAATGTAACCTAGCTAAGACAACAGATACAGTTAATCATTGTGTACAGTATTGGATGATAATAAAGTGTTTGATAAAAAGACATATGGGAACATTCAAACTACATATTCCAATATTTTGCAAATTCTGACCCTCCTCCATCCTGGTGACTCTTTGTAGCCAGAAAAATGCCTCTATTCCTAAAACCATGTATTATAAGGAAGTCAAACCTCCAAATACTTTTATTTATTTTCAAATTTATATATTAGAAGGGATAGCAAAGAAGAATAGCAAGAATGCAACAACTTTTTCAACTCTTCCTGAACAAACATAAAAACTTGCAATAAAACAGACAAATACAATTGTAACTTGTAAGTGATCTAACAGTTCAAAGTTACTGGTGACTGGATGGCCAAGAGGTTAAGATGTCAGACTACTGTTCTGGGAAGCCTGGAATCAAATCCAAGCAGACAAAAACCCCAGAAATTTTTACAACTGGTCCATCTCAGAGATGTTAGACCCTGTCCCTCATCACCCAGCTGCCCCCAATGTGGACATGACTGAATCTACAAAGGGTACGGGGAGAAAAGCCCTCTTTAGTGCTCACAGGGCAGGAATAAAAATAAATAAATAAATAAATAATAATAATAATAATAATAAAAGTGCTGTAGCTAACAATTTACACTACAATATCAAAACTTTTAATAGTCAATAATCATAATGGCTTTAAATTAATATAATATAATCTTTTCATATCTCAATATCACATTTATGATAGTAGAACCAAACTTATACAGTGGTACCTCAGGATACGAAATTAATCCGTTTCGAAACTGAGATCGTATCATGAAAATGTCGTAAGGTGGATCATCTTTTCCCATACGATTACATGTAAAACCAAATAAT